AATCTACATGTCACCTTCTAGTACAGGGACGAATAAATAAGTAGATGGTAGTGAGATGGAGGTAACATGAGAAGAAAAATGACAGAATGTGACTCTTTCTTAGGTCATAATGATGGAAAATTACCTGTTCCCAAAAATCCATGAGAGATGCTCCCAGATCTGACCTTTGTCAGTAGGAAACATAGTCTACGTCTGAGGTGCTTAAAGGTGATTTGCATTGATTTTCTTAGTCTTATAGCGCTTGATAATTAAGTACCAAATAAACTGTAGTAGAATACTCTTTCTATGGTAACTCTTCTTACTGCTAAACATTTATGTGTCTGTTGCTCCATCCATTCGTTGTTGTTTTTGAACGAGCATGTGATCATAAACAAATGCTCAGTGTGTGCTGGATTCCATTAAAAAATTGCACAACAGAAATAAAGATAAGAAAGCCAATTTTTCTCCTCACTCCACCCTTGCTTTCTCTACTGACTTCAGAGGAATCGAGCCAAGAGCATAGAATTTGGGTCTCCAATGGACTCTTTGTTCCTCAGCTGAGTCTAGATTGCAAAATGTCCCCTGAAACTGGAAAGCATTTACTCACCAGAGAAGCCTTTTTCCTCCTTATGTCAGTAGGACATGCAAGGAACTGCTTGCTGGGGAGAGGAAGAAATTCATAATCTGGCCCCAAATCCAGTTTTACTTGGGGAAGAACCATCGGCTCCGGACATGTGAGGGCCCGTGGAAGCTAATGAGCTAAACTGTGCCCTCACTTGTACACATGAAAACATCAACAAGCGCATAGGCTACAGTTCAGCTGGGTAGCTATAAATCAGGACAGACTGTGAGCATATATAGCTAAAAGTCTAGCCCCAGTAGGTAGTCATGTGTCTTTTCCAACAGGAATGGCATTGACTGGAAAAAATAAAAAATAAAAATGAAAAATAAAGAAAAGGAAAGTCCTCAGCCAGTATGCCCATATTAATTCTAACGGCTAATTTTATATTAATAATGTTAATTATAAAACCAAGTCACCGACTAAGGATGAATTCCAAATGCGAATTAGCACAGAGGAGAGCGAATGCACAACAAATACCACGTGTGCGGGAAGACTGTGTTGGCGTGACTTTCAAACCTGCCCAGGATTTGAGGAACATCTGGGTGTTTTCCTGGACTGCTCTCTACTACAAAAGGCAGAGGTAAGCCGGGCTCCCTCCCTGCTCACTTCCTTGCCTGTGAAATCAGCTGAGAACTGGAGACTATCTACTTCAGCCCTGCTGGACACAAGTCACCAACCCGCTCAGAGTTGAGTCGAGCTTCATTTAACTCTGAGCTCAACGCTGTGCTGAGATGGGCTTGTGAGATGGATCTGATCCAAGTCCAACTGGCTCACAACAACTGAAACAAACTCCCAACTGTCCTCACCACCTCGGTTAGAGATGCTCAGAGGTAGATACTCATTGCCACAGAGCGGCTCCTAGTCCAGGCCAACGCAATAGCTCTGAGACTTCTCCTGGAGGGATGCAGCTGCTGACATACAAGCCCAGACCATAACTCATCTTGATCTTGCACGGGTCCTGGGCTGAGCCGAAGACCTGCCGTTGCAGCCAGAGTCCTCACTGGGACTGTTAGTGGGATACGCACAGGCAGAGAGATCTGGGTTTCAATGCGAGAGTGCAGCCTGCCCACTAAGGACAAGATTATCCCAGCAGCTTCAGCAGTTTTATGGGGATCAAGCTCGTAGTCAGAATGCTTTAGCTTTATGCGCCCAGAAATCAGAGCCGGTCTTGGCTCTGGTGCGTGGACTTTGCAGCTAACAGAGACGCAGCCCACGCGTCGAGTTGCACGTGCTGGGCCGGAATGCAAACAGCATGTAAATGTGACTTTAGGACAAGCATAACGCGCTCCAACTAGCTGCCCAAAAACCGCCGCTGCAAAACGCAGGCATGCAAATGCCAAGCCGGAGCTGGGCTAGCGCCGAGAGCTGGGCCACGCGCGGGTCACACCAACCAGAAAGGCCAGAGCTCCTGGCAAGCGTGCGTGCTCACAGCACAGCCGGGCACTGCACCCTCTGCCAGGCAAAATAGCTCTGATGGCTTTTTCATGGGCTGCAGTAAGGTCAGGCTGCGGCTGGGCTGGGAATGGGGTTCCCCAAGGTCGCGCCAGTGCCCCAAGGATCGGCACAGCGCCTGCAGACTGGGACAGCAAAGCGAGCACCACCACGGGAGCAAGTGTCAGCTGACACCCGGCCAGAGAATCAGTGCAATATATTAAGCAAAATGACAACTCTGACAAGAGTGTGAGGAAACAGGTATTAGCAGCACATAAAAACAAAGTGAGAATACGCCTTGTAATGGCAGCCAAGGTAAAGGAAACGAGTTTACATCAAATGGGAAAATTTCTGCAGTTACAGCATGTATTTTGGAAAGGAAAGACGGGATTAGCCTTGATTTTCATTTGTTTCCTTTTGCCATTCTTTCTCTTTGAAACAGACAATTTTTTATACTCTTCCTCCACTCCAATAATGGGTTCTATTCTTTATTTTTGAATTAATCTCAAAATATTTGGCAAATTACGGGCTACTTAAAGGTAGAGAATCCAAAATATATGTTTAAGTGTAACTTAAAACTCTAGCAGCTTTCTGAAACAGCAAGCTTAACACCAGAAGTGCTCCACACCATTAATCAAACCAAAATGTTGATGAAAAAATATCCCAAAGAGGGACATAATTCACTTTAAAAAAGCATTGCCTTATTTGAAAATATTCCATTTTTCACAAAAAAAATCGCTCAGGATGTAGGAAATGCTCCTAAATCCATTAAAATACTTATTATACTCCATCCTGTTTGTGTTCACATATAGGGCAAAAATACCATTAGATTTGTAAGGGAGATAGATAGATACATAATAATCTTACACCCTGAGAAAGACATGGCTTAAGACAACATATTATTTTTTACAAACACTACCTAAAGGGAGCTTATTTCTTGATTTTAACAATTTTTAAAAACCTTTCTGGAACTACAGAGTATTTATGTGAACTGCCCTTTGGGGGAATCTATGCAAACTGAACTCTGTTGATCAGTAGAATATCTCGATACATGGATATTTCAGGTCTTTTTTGAAACTATTTTTACAAACTGTAGAAGAGGACACTTACCCAAGACAAACAAGCTAATTTCAAAACAGCTAGTTCCTGAGAGAACCAGTTACTCATTAACAGTTAGGCAAATAACCCAATACTGATCTAGGTAAACTTCAGAAAAACTGAACCTGTCAGTTCCACTGAACGAAATAAAGTCAAGAGCCCCAGATTTTGGTAGTTTAATTTGCAAAAATATAGTGAATTTTTGAGAAAACTTGTACCACAGTAAAAAGCAAAAAGTATCCTATTGTTCAGAAATGAAGTGCAACATCTGTGTTGAATAACATTTCTGGAGTAGGACAGCGGATGGAAACCTTTCGGCAAAAATAATAAGAAATAAGATCCAGTCAATGTAGCAATGGCAAAAAAGATTCAAAAATCCTTTACTGAGGGACAGACAGAGCTTTTCTTGGAGTTGTTTTTAAATTCAGATTTCTCTGGGCCTTTTAACATTGCTTATCTACTGACATCCTCCATATCCCAAATAAATAAGTCTAACCATTTCAGGTCATGAGCAAAAGCCATTGTGAAACCTGCATTTCTTTTGATGAGACAATTAATGAGCAAATGCGAGATAGATAGTGAAAAGCCCTTCTTAATAGCGTTAAGATTCTTAAAGAATTAAATGAAACGTTGCCAAAACGCTCAGAAGGCATTGCTAACTTTGCAGTCTTATTCAGTTACACAGTTAGTCATATGTTATATGACTAAAATGTCCTTTATTTTTCAGGCAGTGAATATTTAATGTCATGGAATAGTACTTGCTTTAAGTCAGACTGCATTTCACTATTCAAATTCCAAATATCATGCAGTATGTTTTACCTCTGTGAACAAAGTGGAAGCGATTGTATGTAAAAACTTACACCTCACAGCCAATTTCGGCATGTGTTCTAAAGGCTTTTGGACAATCTTGGTAGCAAAAATATAAGAAAAGTACTCATTTGGATATTGCTTCTCAATCTATGTACCTACTAACAAGTAAAATCAGACGGATGGTCAGTTGTGTCAGTAACAATACCGATGGCGTCTTTTCCAAGAATAAAATCTGAACCTCAGTCATAAACGGGAACGGAATGCAATTTTAAATGACGAAATATTAACAACAGTGTCTCTCATAAGTCATACAGGGGGATGAACTTATGGTGTTCTGTCAAGAGCTCCACCAAAATTTTCTGTACCTTGTAGGCTCTTCAGGACATGACGCTTACTACACTAAGGGACGAAATAACTCAAAATACGACCCTTAAGGGAAGGGGTCCCATTTCAGCCCAAATATAACTGCAGACGCAACAGCAGTTGACAGGTCAGCTGCTTAAATATTACCCCTTCCACCCTTTGCCCTGCACCTCCTATCCGCCTTTTCTAGGCGTTCAGCTTTTTGACAAGGGTAGTAGAGGTTATTCAAGAGGAAGTGAACAGAAGTCTCACCAGTGTTATTCGGAAGCACCCGCAGGTTTTCAAATTCCAGCATGGTATAAGATGAATCCAAGGAGTCGACATAATCAGGCATATCCATGTCCATGATGGACTGACAAAGCTTCATTATTACTTGTCAACGGCAAGGGAAGAGGCAAAAACAGCCCTGCTGTCAATCACGGCCAAGGTTTCCTCCACAAAGAGAGACACCCCAGCCCTTGAAATGACAAATCATTACCCAGCTCTGCCCGCAGTCCCCTCCCCGTGCCAGGAGAGAAGGGATGAAGCCTTTCTTTCTCTCTCACGCGCAGTCCCCTCCCTTCCCGGGGTGCATCTGGGCTCTGAGTCTTGATAATATTATGTAGATAAAGCCTAGACTCAAACAACTTGGATTGCATCTTTGGGTCAATACAGCCTGGTTTATGGCTGTCCCTGTGCAAACATTTTGAAAAGGGCTATGGAGAGGCATTCACACACATGAGCTGCTCTTCCAGGGCAGAGCAGTGGTCATGTCAAATAACGCTCGTGCTGCATCAATACTACCTTTCTCCGCTACCAGCTACCAGGCCTTGGGGAAAGACTGAGTGATGTCACTTGAAGCTGGAGAAGAAAATGAGTCAGCGTCACAGCTGGCTAACGGATAAAGGTAGGTCGGCACTCAGAGCCTGTGGCACTGCCAAGAGGCATCAGATGCAATGGTGCTCACCGGATCACACCTTGAGGTACTGAAGGCAAAAATGAGGGCTTGTCACAGCTAGCTTAATGCTTTCACCTTCCCCAGCAGGCTGAGAAAATGCAGCGTCACCCTCATCGACCATCCGCGGTCCCTATCACCCAGGTCTTCACCCTACTGGCCCCAGGCCAGCCACGGTGTCACAAAGCTCCCACCGAGCCAGAGCTTGGTTGCAGCTGTAGGCTGTTAGGGCAGAAGGTTTCAAGCAATGGCAAGCAATGAAAATGGAAAAGGCTAGAAGTAACCAGATAGACTCCCAAGCAGGTGTGTGGTGGTGCATTTCATGCTGACCCATGCCGGGCTTTTCTGGGAAAGTCCCATCTCATGGAAGTGCAATTCCAGTTTCTCCCACAAGACTCTGGGTTTTTTTGATTTACTGAACTTCACACAGAAAGTTCTTTCATTGTTGAAAGTCATGAGTTTTACTGCAAAAGACTGGAAATAAAACACAGTCATGCATTTCGCTAATACGATATAGCTTGAAGTGGTTGGTTTACTCCTGGTTTCATCTTCCAGACACCTTCCTTGACATTACCGTACCCTCTCCAGTGACGCTGTCGTGTGTCAGAGATCCTTTCCTTTCCATGAGCTGTTCTGTGAGATCCAGTTCAACATCCTGTTGAACCTGGAGGAAAGAAGAGTCTTGAGAAATAGAGAGATGTGTTGCCAGAAAAAGAGCCTTGGCCAAAAGGACAGGCTTGCCAGACTGCCTGAACTCTCACTGAACCAAGAAGTAGGGCGGCTCCCTGTATCCTAGCAAATGCCAAATTGCAAGAAATATCCCCAAACTGGTTTTTGAAATGTCTTAGATACATTCATTTTGATTTCGTCTACATAATCCCGATGTTACATGCAGGCTGCCAGGATTTGTCTGCATCCTGCGGACATGTAGTAAGTAGACTTTGCAACATGTTAACTGTAGATGGGCTTTTCCCCTATAAAGATTGGATGCAGGAACATTTAGCTTTATTTCCTTATCATTTGTGGGGCATAAAATAATTTCATGTGCAATAGATATTTTTTTCCTTTCCTTTTTTAAGAACACGTTGTAATTAGTGGTGCACAAATGACTCCTTGGTTAGATAAGAAGTTATGTTTTTATCCTTGGACTATGCCCCCAATGCCAGCATCAGCTAAGTTAGCATCTGATTAGTCGTTCTTGTCTCTTACTCAATGTCGGTAGTGATTGTGTCTATTAATCTGGCACATTTTTGTGAACTGAGCTACGTGCACAATCCTGCCTGATTCTCAGCACTCTGCTACTCTCGCAGTTGCACAGGGACACTCAGATTGATTCCTACAATTCCAGTGGGATTTGTATGGGTTCCTGGCCATTAAAATAACCCTACTGGTACTCACCATGCTTTCGGAGAGTTGTGGCCCAGAGAGAAGGTGCTGGGCTCAGAGGCCTGAGGTCAGCAGGCATTAGGTTTCTTAGTCCCTCGATCCAAAGCGAGGGTTAAGGCTCATTTCCAAAGACTGCTGGGCAATGAGGACTCGCTCAAACAGTTCTTGTTCTGGGAAAGACAAAAGGTTATAGTACAAATTTCTCAGCTCAGGACCAGGCTTTCAACACCACTTCCATACTGATGACCACAACTGACTTGTTATTGAAGGTGGTGCTGCAGTGATACTACATCAACATTTCTATGTATCATCTCAAACAGATGTCAGCATGCTGTTCCAAACCAGTCAAGCACAAAAGCAGCCCTGAACTTTATTGAAGTTTT